TGTTGAAGCAATTCATCACCTCGCTCAGACTCATTAATCATTGTGAAGCAGTACTAATGTATCCTTCAAAACAATTGCATACAACAAAAGGGTTATTTCATTGGGAATACTGAAGTTAATGAATGCATATTCAAACTTGCAAACAATTACTTTCTATCTCTTTATCAGTTTTACTTAAGTAGAACAAAGATCAAAAGGATCCATCGTTGTTAATTATTTATATCGTGTTTCACGACAAGACCTCATCATTGAAAAAATGAATAAGGTTGACCATAACATCCTAAAATTTCATATTACCATTCCAACATGACATACTAATACGGCTCACTTCGACCTCTTAAGAATTATTCAGTGTTTCTCGAAAATTTCAGCGAGTTCTAACGCTAAATGGGTGACATTTTTACAGTCGTGTAAGTTCACTAAGACCGCAACACAGACACCATCTGTATTTGAACCGTTAAAATTCGGTTTCACCACCAGCACAGAACTTGCACCGACCGCCGCACCGGTGTGCATCCAGAAGCCATTTCTCGTGCATCCGTTTCCACCGCCGTACTCGACCGTTTTCGGTTTCTTATACCAGCCTAAACCGTACCGAAACCCGTGTTTACCGTCCACTTCGCCCTCCCAAAACGTTTTCAAAGCGTCTCTCTCCAACAGTGGTCGTAGCGATTGATCATCGCTCACTTGTGATTCATTCCTTGAATGATGGAAGCTGAAATTTACGAAACAACTTGCAACGAGACAGGAATAGTTCGATGAAAATAACAGTTGATTACTTGGAAATATTGTTACGTTCATGATCAAAATGGATCAGTGCTTTGTTGAATCAATGCATTCATTAAGATTCGATTTGGGTGAGCTCTTTGAAGACAACTCAACGAAACCACCCAATAGAGCTGATCGTGAAGGCATTTCACTCATTCAGCATTTAATAACAAACCTATACAGCATGGCATTTGCGAATATCAACAGATCATTGACATTCGACAGGAATCCTCCACCAGCCCACTTGTACGAGTTATCCACTTCGGGAACATTTTTCAGTTTATGATGTCGATCTCGATAGTAGTACCTGTGAAACGATAGCTTAACGCTTGAATGGCGTAAGTCTTTGTGGATGCTGATATTTACTCTCGTGATTTATTGACTTTGATGAAANTATGCTTCGAATTCAAACTAAGAGAACATTTTGGATTAGTACCTTGCTCTGTTCGGCATGATTTGTTCGTTTTGATCCACTACTGTATGATTCATACCGAGTTCATTGAACAGCTGTTTGGCTTGTTCTTTGAACGGCGTTTTAGCGGCTTTCTCAAGAACGGCACTCAGCAGAGTATATCCATGAGTGCTATAGTTGAACTCAGTGCCAGGTTTCGAAATGAGTGCGTCGTTTTTGAACATTTCCAGAGCCTCTTCAACGCTTTCGTATGATTTGTTGCTGAGAAATTCTGGTGTTACTGATGTGGATATGTCGCCGTCTTTCTTATTCTTGTTATTATTTTTATTATTATCACTACTCTTCTTTTCATTGGTTTTCACATCCGGTTCGATCTCCTCACGGTCCTCCTTGAAAATTTCATCGTTAACGTATGACATAGTGGCACTCTGTTTGATCTGTGATGATAGCGATATACGACAGATCACTCGACCACTCGATTTTGAAAACAATATGTGATTGACGTTCTTAGACAATATATGAGATGATTGACATTCTCGGATCATCCCACATGACAAGTTCAAAATGGAGTGATCACCTCTCTGTAGTGACGAATACCACTTGTGTGACAGAGCAGCTGACGGACCGTTATGTCAAATGTTTCATCTTTGAATTTCGCTTTCGGATAATCGGGCAAATATTTCTACAGAAAATAAATACACATTCTCGGTTGAAGAATGCAAACAATGCGTTATTTACGTATAAGAACTATTCAACATGTCAATAAACTGACTCTGACTTTCAAAGATTATTTCGAAAAAATGGCTTATTTGAAGTGTGCAAA